ACAGATAACATTACTAATTCTAACGCAAAGATATCCCTGTAGGTTTTACGATTAATATTGTGCGTTCTTGTCGATTGCGCTTATGTTGTCAGAAAGAAGCATGACAAAGGTTGTGCACAAAAAATTTGATCACTTTCATGTCAGAAGTTGGTACGATATTTATTCGTTCTATGGTAGGCATAGTGAAGCAACAGCATTAAACGATTTAATAATACTGAAAATATAATATGCCTAATCCGGTGCTGACGTTTGGGCCTGTGTTTCACAGACTTTTTTCAAGTCAGATGTTGCGTGGTGTTTCGTGAATTGCGTTCTTCGTCCGCTGCAGTTGATCGGTTGGGAGCCAGTGTTATGTTTAAAACTTTATTTAATGTTTTTCCGAAAAATTTGTTCATTTTAAAATGTTTATGCAAGCAGCCCTGCGAGTTTTGAAAAATATAGCTGCGCAAAGACGCCGGAAATTTTGAAGAAATCGAATCAGACGTTTCCTTTTATCCGGCTTCAGCTGTTCATGGAATATTTCTTCCAGAAAGTTTCGTAGTCGCTTAATCATCGCGCTTCATCACAGGCAGAATTCGTTAAGTTGTCCATCACCGTTTATTTGAAACGCCAAAATTGTCCTAATGGCATGTCAAAGCCGTTATTGCTGACTACCTGGATTCATTCCCGAATTAATGTCAAACGAAAAGTTTTTCGCGATGTCCACTGATTCCTCCTTAGGGCATTGGGAAGAATAGTAAGCTTTGTCGGAAAAGCGGCTGATGCCATATGGCCGGACGTGATAGACCAGGTATTCCATTTGATACATATCATCCGGCGAAATGTAGTGGAAGGAAATTGCGAAGTCACTGCAGCAGCCCATTCCCTGAAAGTGGAGACGTGAATAAAATGAGGGCAATTAGTGAAACATATCATGTGATTAAAAACCGGAAATCTATCTCACTGTAACCCGGCCTCAGTTATCGAAAATCCTGCAACGATCGAACTGGGAGAATTTATGGTAAAAAGAGTCAGAAGTGTAGATGTTTATATAGCCAGTTGCAAATGCTTGATGTATGCTGTGAAAATTTCAGGTAATGAGGTTTTGGCAGTGGTTGACCTCCTTAAGTTCAAAATGACAGCTCTGTGTAGAATAACGATATTCAAATTCATGCAGGTCCGCTCAGATAGAAGAATTATAGATCACCATATATGTTAATCCAAAGAAAGCATGATTATAAAGTGACATCTGCCCTTTGAACGGAAATGTTTTTATTAAAGTTAGGGGAAAATTACACTGTAACATTTCGGTCAAAAATGTACCCATTTTACGGTAGGTGCACACTTTAGAATTGTGATCTGTTTGAAAGTCCCAGGTATTTTATGGCAAGTGAGCCACGAAATGCAATTTCGGAAGGGTTAAGCGTCAGCTGGTACACTGATTTTTACGGCATCACCCAAAGAGTACCGGACCGGGAAGTTCGTTAGTGCTGCGTGATGTAAAGAATGGCGCGAGAAGCATCCAGCAAAGAGGGTGTTCAAATACTCTGGAACTTCAGTTTGCTTAAAAGGACGTCGAGGCAATTGGATGAACAAGCGACGAAATGAGTCTTCAAATTTGACTTTTGATTAAATAAGGGCATGCTAAAATACTATTCCATATTTTTATATTTTTTCATGATGTAACGACTGGTTAGTGCTTCAACGTAATAATCTACGACTTTACATACAAGTAAGTGTCCATACTCTCGCATGTACATCTGGTGCCTTTGCACGAATATCGTATATGACGTTCGTTTCATGCTCTGTGAAATTTAGAAAATAATCTGAACGCTTATTGCAATCCAGAGGTGTTTGCTACTTTCATATTACAGCCAGTTTAAGCAAAGTTTTATTACGAGTAGTGCGTAAAATAAATATTTTTAAACAAACCTGACTGAACGGATAATAAATATAACTCCAGAACCAGAATGAGGGGTCGGGTGTCGCTGGCCTTGCGTGACTAGCGGGTGTGAATGGAAGGAAGCGGTGCCGGCCAAATCTGTCTCGAGAATCACCGGCAGTGACGCCAATCTTTTCCATGCATATGCCCAGGTTGGCATCCTCATGGCCAGTCGAAATGTCTTTGCACACATTATTTCGAATGCCCTGCTCAACGAACAGCGTCAGAGCTTTCTTGCTCATCACGTAGCCGGCACCACCGCTCATGTAGCCCTGCTTGGTGAATGGTTTGAACCGGCAACCGAAGTAAATCGGCTGCTCTGGCCGGTAGGAGAGGAGCATCAACCGCAGGTTTTCGACGATCACGTATGTGTCGTCGTCGGCTTTCATGAACCAGTCGTACTCGTCTAAGCTCGTTTCGTAGATGTACGTCAGCGCGAGTTTCGTTTTCTCCCACAGGAATTCTCGTCCTTCAGAGGTATTCAGCTTCACCGTTGGGAGACTGGGTTCTGCAGCCGTTGAGGCAAAGAAATATCCGTTGCATCGCGTCACCCACGTCGCCTTGACATGCACCGCTTTGGACCTGTGATTGCCCGGATTGGTCATAATCCAACATAGTACCCGAACGTTTTTGGACACTGTCTCCGCCAGCGTTCCGTTTACTGAAAATAGACGTTGATATAAATTCATATTGAGCCATTGCATACGTGTCAACAAGAAATACACGACAGTAATTCTCCAGGTTAGAGGATTACATGATTTTTCAAGGATTTGATAATTAATAACTACGCGTTACAGTTTATTCATGGCCATAACTTCTGTTCATGAGCTTAGCTACTAACATGAGACTTTTGCTGGCCGACGGCTATTAGCGTTGATTTCTCGAGTGTATTAAGCTGGAAGCGTCTTACCATGTAGATGTCTCAGAGGATGTAATGGTCAGCCAAATCGTTACCACATGTAGAAAATTAACCTTGCACCAAATGCACCTGGGTATGTTCTGGCAATCAAATAAGGGGATGGAATTGTTATCGTTCTGCTGTCAGGTCATTGATTAATGCACACAAATAGAGAGTTGATTTGTAGTGTGGTTATCAGCAATTTAGTGTCACATGGCACGTGCCAAATCATGAAGCTGCGGAGTGGACAGATCGCCAACGTGACAGATCATTTATCAAGGCTGCCACGTGAGATTTATCAAAATCTTTCATAATTTTTTTCACGTTATCTTTTCAATGATTTCCACTTTTCAGTCCGTGCACCAACGTTTTCAATGAAGTCGCGCAGTAGACTGATGGATTCGGTTGTCGACACTTCGTACAAGCATTTTCTACTTGCTCCTGGAAGAATTCATACTCTTCCTCCAAATTGAACTCACAGACCTGTGACGCGGTCAAAGCTTTCGTATCTGGCAACTTCAGTCAGAGGATGGCCCAGTCTTCTGCTGACGGATTTCCGTTCAATGGTTGAATCCCATCAGAACACCTGCACCAGCCTGGGCGTAGCACGTGATGCCGAAACCTGAGTGGAATAGCTTTCGCCAGCATTGGCTCAAAATTCCATATTCGAGCGCTTCGTTGGCGAGAGTATAACTATGTTCGGTTGGTTCTTTGCACCCTCATCAACTAGCTGTTGTTCTTTCCCTCGGAATTGGAAGATGTTCCAATTTGCAACTGTGAGCTTGGGTACCCGTGACACATTATCTGTCGTGCCATATTGGAATCCTAATGTTCGCCACCCCCCATCCAGAACGGGTGTAGGCTTCGTTGCTGGCTTTGTGGATTATCGGCAGCCGTCTTCATGCTGCTACGCCCCCAGTTGCTAGCCGTTGTGAAGCAGGTTCCGATCGCCGATTTTTCCGTTCCAGCACAACATGCGCGGTCCTTGGTAACTCGGGCGAGGACGTAGCCGGTATGACCTTCGATGACCACAATACCATGAGGGTCAGATGGCTAAATTTTACGGGAAACTTCACAAACCCTCCTCCTTTATCATCTGGGATTGGGATCGGCAGCGGCGAATATACGTTATCATATATACAGGAACATATGGCGTGTGAACATTCAAATCACTTTCTTGACGTAAACAATAAAAACAGTAATTCTTGCAGTAGTCTGACTCAATAGCCTCCCACAGCCTCAATATATAAACATGATTTACAGCCGCCAAGACCCCAAATTTCAAAATGCTCACTGCGAGGTATCGATCGATGTGCAATATTAATAGGCAAAATGAACTTGGGTGCAAAAGACATTTTAAAATTATGCAGAACCATGACAGCGCAGCAACACTATTGACTAACTTACAATTGAATCACTGCTACTCGTTTTAATTCCATAAGGGCATTCCACACCTCATGTTCTTGACTAATTTACTTCCACGTAAAACGGCGAGGCTGTTCTGCTTCCTCGACTGCTTTCGTATATCGTTTTGTTTGATAATTCAGTTTGTCACTGCGATTTGTACCATCACCTCGGAGTTACCGCCGCAACGTCTCTGTCGTCGGTGCAAAATCTGATATTTTATAGTCGTAGTGATTCTGTCCAAGTAGCGAAAGCATGCCTACAACGTTGCTGCCTGAGCAGTATGACAAAAAGCTGTTTTTTGTGTTACGGTAGAATGAATGAATAAGCGAGTGAAAGAAGTAACGAACACAGGAATGAACGAATGATTGATGAATCGATCAACGAATGAACCAATGCAGGAATGAATGAACGAAACAATGAAATTGCATTTTGCAGTGGTGCATAGTATTTCCTCCTGTACGAATGCAAATGCGCACTCGTATTCGACGCATCCACACTCCGGCCCTCCACTTTCTGAGTTAACCAGCTCGCTCACCTCAAGAGGCTGAAGTTGTGCTACCTTCCCGGATGGCACTAAGCCGAAGTCAATTAGTTGCTTCTTCGAGACGACGGAGCATGCCTACTGTTGAGTTGGGGGGGGG